CATGTAATGGCACACAGGTAAAGCCATGAAAAATGTGGCGACATATAGATTAACAGAAATGGGCTGAGTTTAAGTGTAAGAGCTAGTCAGTAGTAAGCCTGAGCTAATAGCCAAGCAGTTTTAATTAATATAATCCTCTGTGTGTTTACTTGGGTCTGAGCAGCTCTGAGAAGCTGTGGACTGGGCAGGACACAGGTAAACTTCTGGCTACAATCTATCAAGAAAATTGTCCATTCTTTTAGATATTCCAGTTTTGTGAAGTACACCTTTGAAGTACACCTAATAATTCCTTGGATTTCCTCAATGTCTGTTGTTATGTCTCCCTTTTCATTTCTGCTTTGTTAATTTGGATATTCTCTCTCCATCTTTTAGTTTGGATAAGGGTTTGTCTGTTTTGTTGATTTTTTTCAAGGAACCATCTCTTTGCTTCATTAATTCTTTATATTATTTTCTTTGATTCTATTTTATTGATATTAGCACTCAGTACATTTCCTGCCATCTACTCCTCTTGGTTATGTTTGCTTCTTTTTGTTCTAGAGTTTTCAGGTGTGCTGTTAAGTTGCTAGTATGAGATCTCTGCAGTTTATATATGAGGGCACTTAGTGCTATGAACTTTTCTCTTATCACTGCTTTCATTGTGTCCCTTAAGTTTGGATATGTTGTGCATTCATTTTCATTGAATTCTAGCAAGTCTTTAATTAATTTATTTATTTCTGCCTTGACACAGTAGTCATTCAGCAGAGAGTTGTTCAATTTCCATGAGTTTGTAGGCTTTCTGTTGTCTCTCTTGTTGTTGATATCCAGCTTTAATCCATGGTGGTCTGATGGGATGCAGGGGGTTATTTCAGTTTTCTTCTCTTTGTTGAGACTTGCTCTGTGACTGAGTATGTGGTCAGTTTTCGAAACTGTTCCATGAGATGCTGAGAAGAAAGTATATTCTTTTGTGTTTGGGTAAATGTTCTGTAGATCTCTATTAGGTCCATTTGGTTCATAGTGTCTGTTAGCTCCATTATTTCTCTATGTAGTCTGCATGACTTGTCCATTGGTGAGCATAGGGTATTGAAGTCTCTCTCTTCAATCTGTGAGGGTTGGTGTATGATTTAAGCTTTAGTAGTGTTTCCTTTATAAATGTGCATGCTGTTGTGTTTGGAGCAGAGATGTTAAGAACTGAGAAATCATCTTGGTGGATTTTTCCTTTGATGAGTATAAAGTGACCTGACTCTTTTGATTAACTTTGGTTGGAAGTCTGTTTTGTTAGATCTTAGAATGGCTACAACAGTTTGTTTCTTATGTCCATTTGCTTAGAAAAACTTTTTCCAACCCTTTATTCTAAGGTAACATCTATCTTTGATGTTGAGGTGTTTTTCTTATATGCAGCAGAATGATGGATCCTGTTTTTGCATTCATTCTCTTAGTCTGTGTCTTTTTTATTGGGAAATTGAGTCCATTGATATTGAAAAACATCAATGACAAATGATTGTTAATTCCTGTTAATATGTTTTTGTTGTTGTTGGTGGTGGTGGTAGCGTTTGCATGTGTGTGTGTGTGTGTGTGTGTGTGTGTGTTTCCCCTCTTAGGGTTTTGCTGATGAGAGCCTGTTTTTTGTGGGTGTAGCTAACCTCTTGGGTTAGAGTGTTCCTTCTAGTACCTTCTATAGGGCTGAATTTGTGGATAGATGTTGTTTAAATTTGATTTTATAATGGAATATCTTATTTTCTTTATCTATGGTGATTGACAGTTTTGCTGGGTATAGTAATCTGGGCTGGCATCTGTGTTCCCTTATAGTCTGCAGGACATCTGTCCAGGTCCTTCTAGTTTTTATAGTCTCCATTGTGAAGTTGGGTGTAATTCTAATAGGTCTGATTTTATATGTTATTTGGCTTTTTTATTTTGCAGCTTTTAATATTCTTTCCTTGTTCTTTGTGTTTAGTGCTTTGATTATTATGTATTGAGGGGACTTTCTTTCCTGGTCTAATCTGTTTGGTGTTCTGTAAGCTTCTTGTACCTTTATAGCCATGTACTTCTTTAGGGTAGCAAAATTTTCTTCTATGATTTTGTTAAAAGTCTTTTCTAGGCCTTTGAGGTGTGATTCTTCTTCTTTTATTCCTATTATTCTTAGGCTTGGTCTTTTCATGGTATCCCAGATTTCCTGGATGATATGTATTAGGGATATTTTAGATTTAACATTTTCTTTGACCGATGTATGTATATCTTCAATCACATCTTCAACACATGAGATTCTTTTTCTCTTTCATGTCTTGATTCTGTTGATGATACTTGCATCTGTTGTTCCTGTTTGTTTACCTACATTTTCCATTTCCACAATTCCCTCAGTTTGTGTTTTCTTTATTGCTTCTATTTCCTTTTTCAGGTCTTGAACAGTTCTATTAATTTTCTTCAATTGTTTATTTTTTCTTGAATTTCTTTAAGGGATTTATTCACTGCTTCCAATTGTTGTTGTTTTGTGTGTGTGTGTGTGTTTTCTGTATTTCTCTAAGGGATTTGTTCATTTTCTCTTTAAGGGTCTCTATCAACTTTATAAAGTTGGTTTTAAGGTTGTTTTCTTGTGCTCCAAGTGTGTTGGAATATTCAGGGCTTGCTATAGACAGATGGTTAAGCTCTGGTGGTGACATATTGCCCTAGCTGTTGTGTTCTTATACTAGTAGTTAGGTATCTGGGTTTGGTATGGTTATGGGTCTAGGTGCTGATTTCTGAGTTTGTCTTTGTTGGATGGGTGTTTTGTTCCTTGGTTTCTGTCTCCTCCTGGTCTTCTTGCCTGAGTGACCTGTGGTTGAGTAGAGAGTCTCTGCTCGAGTTAGGGCCTCTAGCTCTGGCAGCCAGAGTGGCCTCTGGTCTAGTCAGGAGGTCCTTTGGGGTTCTGGATGCCAGTGTAGCCTCTGGGCATCTGGGTGCTGATGTGGCCTCTGGTGGAGCAGGGGGCTTCTTCCAGAGGTGTGGCTCATGTATTTTCTTTTAATGTTAGAAATTTTATTTTTCCCTTGATGCACTCAGGTCTGCCCTGCCCTCAGGATGGAGTCTTTGGGGAGTTTGTTCTGTCACCTCTGCCTGGGGCCTGTGCTTCAACAGTCTTCCTTCCACCCCCCACTCATCTCCTGACACTGCTGCTGCTGAGGTCGAGCCCACTGGCTGCTGTGGCTCTGCCACCTTACATGAGTTTTAGGTCCTTGTTTCTTGGCTGTTCTTTCTCTCAGTATTTCCCCCTTTTCTTTCCTACATGATGCTGAGGGCCAGTCTCAGGGCCTTGTTCCTGCGAAGCACATGGTTTACCACCAAGATTATATCCCCAGTTCTCTTTCCAACCTTTTAATTAGATAACATGAGGTTATTGAGTTTTCTTTGTTTTTATTTGCTTTTGTTTTCTTCCTGGTTAGGATATTGTTTATTTTGTGATGGTGGGGATCAAATTCAAGGCCTTGAGCATTCCAGGCAAATCCTCTACCAGCAAGGTTGTGCCCAAGCCCTTTATTAAAAATCTGTGTCTTCTGTACTGTTTTAAAATTTCTTGCTGTCCCCATATAACCTTTTTGTTTGATCTAATTTGTGTTCAAGGCATCAAGAGCTGCCAACAACCCATGATTCCTCAAACTAGAGCCTATGACATCTGCTGCTGTTTCCTCACCCTGGGTACCTAGAAGGATCTGTATATCTTTAAAGTAAATTACTAAGTTCTTTCATTGGTTCTCTTCACTATCAGGTATCCCTTAGAGATTTTACCCATTGTTGTAGTTCTAGCCATGAGCTTTAGACAGCTTACTAGCAAACTTGCATTTGGAACATTAATTTGTGACCTTTTGGCTTTCTGTTGGGTGAGTGATTATTGCTTTAGATCAAATATTTAGCTAGGAACCATAAAGGAATTAATTATCACAAATACCTTTCATTCTGTTCTGAGAAGTACTCCTCACTTGAGTGTTATTTCATTTTACTCATGTTTGACACATGTATGAGAGGATGCTCTGGAGAACAGTTGATAATTGATATGTCTTACAGGATAAGTAGTATTTTACCAGAAGAACAAATTATGGATGATATTTTATTCAAGGGAATGCTTAAAATGATAAATGGCAGGAAATGAGTCTGGAAAGTTAGGCTTCAATGCCAATTAAAAATACTAGAAGGGCATATATTAGCAATGTCACCTAGCATGGACCAGATGACTGATCAACAGTTATCTCTGAATGGGTAGAGGCTTCACAGAAACTTCTCACAGAAGCTAACTGCTGCTCTGTTTTTGTGCCACTTCTTATTTGTCACAACTATGTGAACACTCACAGAAGCAATGGAATGAAAAAAGTTGAAAAATCCTTGAGTTAAGCATCCCAAAAGAAAGGAAATGATGAAAACATGGCTGTACTGAACTAAGTTATATCAACAGATTTTCCCACCATCAATTAAGAAAGAATATACTAAGCCTGAATTTCATGAATTTCAAAAACAGTTGCTAGTATTTGAGCTCCCATTGGCCATTCTCTAATAGATCCCCCATGATGCTTTATTTACTTATTTGAGAGCTGGAGTTTAAACATGGGGTCATATGAAGGCTTAGCATGTGCTCTCCCACTAAGCAATACCCTCAGTCCTCTTTTTTATTTCTTTAAGAAGAAAAAAGTACTCCATCACCATAGTGAAATGTTTTGGATACTTCTAATGGCATTTGAGAAAACAAGCTTTGATTAATTAGATTGGTGCTGCAGACACCATTAGGGTCATTCAGTTGTTATTTCAATTTTGTTTTTCTAGCTTTGTGTAAGAACTAGGAATGCCTTTTAGACAAGTAATAAAGCAGATTTGTTTTGCTGGGCTTACAATTACTCAGTCTCTGATTTTAAAAAACCAAATGCATAGAACCCACTAATTGAAAATCCAAAATATGAACCCATAAAGGATCTTACAAAACTTTAATTACCAAGTAAATATTAATCTCAGGCCTCCCACACCATTTTTTTTGTGATGGAGAATAGCTACACACCATCGCCAGTGCCCTTCCCACACCTTTTACAGTGATGGAGAATGGCTGTACACCATGAATAGTGCCCTGCCCATTCCTATGACTTGTTCTTGCTGTCTTCCTTGGCCTTTGAATACTACCAGATATCTCCATGCCCTTGTATTGTTCCTTTTAACAACCATGGACAGCAGCTTTGAGCCTCTCTGCTTAAGACCTAAGCGTTATTAACATTTTAGTCCATTTAAAAACTACATAACTTGGCAATTAATGATTGACTTATTTCTTTCATTGTAACAGATGTGTTCCTATTTTAAAGCCAAAACATCAAATTGTTATAATGGTAAAGAATTTAGTAAATACATTTGGAAAGCTAGAAGTACTGTAGAATTAAGCTAAATATACTCAGTCACTATTGATAATATATTTTATATAATTATAACACATTTAAAATGTTCAGAGATAGCTAGGTATGGTAGACAGCTTTAATCCAAGCACTTGGGAGGCAGAAACAGACAGATATCTAAGTTTGAGGCCAGCCTGGTCTACATAGTGAGTTCCAGGACAGCCAGGGCTATGTAGAGAGACCCTGTTTCTAAAAACCAAAACAACAACAAAAATAAATGTTCAGAGGCTTTTTACTGAGTAAACTGAGTTTACTTATGTAAACTGAGTTGGCATTAAAAGCACTTAAAGCATTGTTTTACTATTTCTTTTAAAGACTTTTTTTCTTTGAGATTTGTGTGCATGGATACAATGAAATACAATTATATCTATCCCTCTGTTCCCCTCCAACTCCCTCTCAACAAGGACCTCTCTCTTGAACAGTAGAGGCAGGTGCATGCCATGGTAGAAGCCAGAGACTTGCAGGTTAGTTTTCTCTTCCTTTTTTGCTTTTTAGAGACAGGTTTTCTCTGTGCAGCTTTGGTGCCTTTCCTGGAACTCACTCTGTAGCCCAGGCTGGCCTTGAACTCACAGAGATCCACCTGTCTCTGATTCCCGAGTGCTGAGATTATAGTTTTCTCTTTCTACTACGTAGGTCTTAGTTATTGAATTCAGGTTGCCTTTACCTCCCAGGCCCTTTCACTAGCCCGTGTTCTGTTATCTTTAAGGTAAATAAATTGAAGTTTTGGGGGAAAAATGGCTTGTTTGTTGTTGACAAATTTTACTTTCTGTGATTTAAAAGATCAGTTTCATGATATTCTGATACTTCTTGATATTTACAAACAGAATGATTATATTGTTTCAAGAGGGTTCAAGAAATATTTTAATGTTTGCTGTACTGTATTTATATTGATTACCCTTAGGTGTAGTCAGAACAGTATTAGTGTATACAAGACGACCTGAAAAATCCAAGTCCTAGTTAGAAACATCACATGCACACAAATTTTACTGCATTTCACTTGTAGATTTCAAAAATTACTTTAGATATAAAATATTACAAATTAAATTTGTATAGACTGACACTAAGACAGGAATGTTATACTTAGTAGCTGTTCAAATTTAGAATTTTATGTTTGTATTAATGGGGTGTTCTTTCTCTAAACAGGAGAAAGCACCCACCATCTTCCACCTGTGAAAGCCCCTCTTCAAACAAAGAAGAAAATAACGAAACATTGTTTTCTTTGTGGAAAGAAAACAGGACTGGCCACTAGCTTCGAATGCAGGCAGGTGGCCCTGGAGAAGCTGAGAGGCTTTCTCTGTGGGGACTCAGCATGGGGGTTAATCAGAATAAAGCAATGTTTAAATGGCCATTCATACTATCAAGATGATGTTCTAGTAGCAACCCTCAGATGAATTCCTGATTGGCCAGAGAAAGATAGCTAGGTCATCAGTTTCCAAAAGGCCCAAGTAGAGACTCCACTGTCCTTGAACTAGGACATTGAAGCCAATTGATTTATTTGAATTCTTGGAAGAGCCCCTCCTTGTAGACTCTATAGTTTAACATTTGGTACAGTTATTTCAAGATATATGATATATATTCTTAAATAGTTATTTTTTCTTTTCATAAGTAGATCTTTCATTAGCATTGATTGATACCTGCTCTTAGTGTGAGGACAAACATTGAAAAGAATTGTGGCCTTTTAGAATGCATTCTGCTCACATAAAAATAACTTTTTCTTTTTCTTTCTTTCTTTTTTTTTTTTTGCTGGAATGTGTTTTACGTTCTCTCATGTCTTAGCTTTTTGTTGCTTTGCAGGTTTTGTTTGTTTTATTAGACAGACTTTCATCATATAACCCTGGCTGGCCTAGGTCTTGCTATGTACACCAGGCTGGCCTTGAATTCACAAAGATCTGCTTGCCTCTATCTCTGCCTCCTGCTGAGATTAAAAGCATACATCACCATGTCCAGCCTTACATAGCTAATTTTTACATAGCCTCATTTTCTCATGAGACTTAATTTCTTAGAATTCAAATTTACTAAATGTAAGAGATATGATGGACATGGTACCAGCTTTTCAGTTTTTTACTTCAAAAAGATACATACCTGTCATTCATGAACAGGCACCTTGTTCTTTTAGAGCCTTTATACTTACAAGTGGAAGGGACTATCCGTGCTGAAATTGCTAAGGAGGTCCAGAGGGCTTTTGCTGGACTACCTGAAGGCACGCTTTTCTCTCCTAAAGAGATGAGCCCTCTGTGGCAATCTGACTATTCACATACACTTTTTTTTGTGCTTTAGATGTGGAAACAACTTCTGTGCATCTCATCGCTATGCAGAAACTCATGGCTGCACCTATGACTACAAGAGTGCAGGGAGGAGATACTTGCAGGAGGCAAACCCTGTGGTTAATGCACCAAAACTTCCCAAAATCTAACTCTTCTCTGCGCTTTACTGCTCTGCCTGAGGAATCCTATTATATTGACAGAAGAAATATTGTTTAGACTGCATTATTTTTGTTCGACTCCAAAAGATTTGCCAAATAACAAGAGCACACAGTGCATACTGTTGGAGAATGAAAATGCCTATTGTATTGATGTCTTTATTCTTTGGTGAATCAAAAGTTCTAAAAGTAGTTTTAAAAACTTTACACTATAATGATTTAGTTTTGTTATTGCATGTCTGTGTTAAGTATTTTATATTTGAGATTGGAATTATTTATTAGACAAATCTTCAAAAGATGCACTTTAGGAAGTTACCATTGACTGTGTAACCAGGCTTCCATGTTGTACAGAAATGAGTGTTTCTGTAATGGCTCTATTCAAACTGAGCACATTTTGCCCATTTTTCTTTCTTTTCTTGTGGGGATGGGGTAGATGGAATTTTTTCTTTTTATAAATCCCACATGTGAAAGTTTATGAGGTTTACTAGCAGGTTCTTTTTTAAAGAACATTTGTTTCTCCAGTGTGATTTTTAACACATATATTTCTTCCATATTCAGATTGGCATTCATATATGTATCCATTCTGTAGAACACATCATGTTAATATAGTATACATTTCTTAAAATACTACTTTTTAAATGGTAGTTTTAAAATAACAGTGTCTTCCTTATTGCCATTGAAAACAGAGACCAACTTTTCACTTTTCAAAAATGGCTATATATATTTTTAAAAGTCTCACAAATTTGGTTTATTTTTATTACATATTGAGTGCTTTTGCAGGGGAAAATAATATTCAAATAAATATTCAACTTCAAAATGACTTTATTTGATTATTTACATTTTCTTTTGTAAAATAGGTAAATCAGTGATCTAGTATACTTGAGGAAAATGACTGGCAGTATAAAAGGATTTTTGAAGGTCTAAGGACCATGTTCCTTAGGTGTTATCCATTTTCCATTCAGGACTCCGGAAGGCCATTGAAGCTGATGCCAGGCAGCAGCTGTTAAGCAGCCTGGCTAGTGGCTGTACCTTTGATCTCCTATAGGGATTCTAGGAGGTTGTTTTGGTGCCCCATAGATCCCTTACTCAGTGAGAGTTTCCTGGAGAACTCCTGATACTCTTCCCTTGTTTCTTGTAAGAGACTGAATATTGATGGATAAAGATGCTGATAGACCTATAGTAAAGCACATTTGTAAAAGAGAATGGTTAAGAAAAAAATGTAATAGAGGAGCCTTAAAGTCAAAGGTGGAAGGCATGCGTTTTGGTTTGTTTTGGTTTTTGAGAGAGGGTCTCACACTGTAGCCCAGTCAGGCCTTTGAATTTGCAGCAGCTTTTAAGCCTCAGTCTCTCTTGTGCTAGGTGTAGTTGGTTGTTTTACTTTTTACTCTTTGGGGGCCTGCCACCTGGCTCCCAAATAAATACACGGAGTCTTATTCTTACTTATGAAGGCCCGGCCTTAGCTTGGCTTATTTCTAGCCAACTTTTCTTAAATTATTCCATCTGCCTTTTTCTCTGGGCATTTATCTTTCACTATTCTATATACCTTTCTTTACTTCTTACTCTGTGGCTTGCTGTGTAGCTGGTTGGCTGGCTCCTGATGTCCTCCTCCTTTTCTTGTTCCTCTTTTCTCTCCTGCTTCTTTTATTTATTCTCTCTGCCTGGCAGCCCTGCCTGTTTCCTTCTCCTGCCAAGCTATTGGCCATTCAGCTCTTTATAGACCAGTCAGGTGTTTTAGACAGGCACAGTAACACAGCTTTACAGAGTTAAACAAATGCAACATAAAAGAATGCAACATACCTTTGCATCATTAAACATATATTCCACAGCATAGATGAGTATAACACATCTTTATCTAATATTGCACAACAGCTTGGATTATAGGCTTGAAACACCACACCCTGTTGAAAGTATGCTTTGTGTGTGGTGCATACATGTGTATGAGTGCACTCAAAGGACACATATGGAGGCCAGAGCAGGACGTCCGATGACCTGGACCAGTATGCCATTCTTCAGTGACAGGGCCCTAAGTGAGATGGGTAGGAGATGAGAAAATGAAGAAAATAGGAAAAGTGGGGTCAGGAGATCTTATGCCAAACAAGATTCTTAAGTGTACAGCATCTTATATACTGTTATGGGGGGAGGGGGAGAGAAATGGGACTGGGTCAGCGGCAACTATCATATAATGTGACAAAGTCAGCAGGAAGCCAGTCAAGCAATGTTGTACAAAGGGACACAGGTTATCTTAGGTACATCACTGACTGAGTACACAGTGGCCTTGGGACTGATTACTCCAGTCTCTTTCGGGGGTGGAGGAGCCAAGTTCCTAGGAACCAAAACTTTGTCTTTGAGGCCCTGGCCAATAGCCCCAGACTGGACCTTGCCAAGTCTGCTCCTGGGCAAGGACACAGAACTAGGTTCCCTTTGTCCTTTCATTGAGGCCTCTGAGAAAGCCATGGATCCCTGAACAGTCAGGTATCTTTCTTGGATATATCACTCTCCACCTTACTGCTTTGAGACAGGGTTTTGCCATTTGGGCTGGCTGGCTGGTTAACCAGCTCCCAGGATCTGCCTGTCTCTGCTCCCTACACCCTTCTCAGTACTGCGGTTACGGGCACTTGTAGCCATGCCCAGCTTTTTATGTGGGTGCTTGGCATTTGAACTCAATTCCTCATGCTCACTTGAAGTTTGAGCACTCTCAATCACTGAATCATCTCCCTAGGTCCTGAAATGCATATTTTAAAAAGAGGAATAAATAAAGGTTAACAACAAATACTTTCACCTATCAATAAATAATTGCCTTTCTTCCCTTATCAAATAATAAATGTGGTTTGACATATAAAAATTAAAAACTCATTATATCAGGCCACTGATAAATGAACCAAAGCATATTTGTTGTATAAATATGAATACTGAGGTCAGGCTGTGTGTACTTTTAACTCATAATTATTAGTAGAGATAAGTCTTTAAGTTTTACAAATGATTTGGGTCAAGGTTGCATCAATTTTTGTCTGATACTGGGGATGAAATCTGTAGCCTAAGCAAGCACCCTGCCACTGAGCCACACCCTCAGCCCACAGTTGAGTTGGTTTGCTAGTTTCTGAGTCACTTAGAGATGAAGCACCATTGTTCAAAAAATGTTATCATTATTGAGAGGGACTTCAGAGACTTCAGACCTGTCTTCGTTTCCGTGATGAGGAGTGTGCCCTGCATAAAGCCCTGGCTACAGCCTTGAACAAATGAACTGCCGTATTGCATAACCTATATAACTTTATCAAATGCTTTTAAATCTCAATCATTTTACATTCAGTTTTTAATTTGTAAAAGCCGAACACATTTGGTTTAACAGTATTGAAAAGTCTTTATATTCTTAACTTTTTGTTGTTTTGATTTTTCAGACATGATCTTATTCTGTAGCTCAAGTTGACGTGAAACTCACAATGTAGCCTTGGCTGGCTTTAAACTTGTGATGGTGATCCTGCCTCAACTTCCCAATATTTTAAAACTTTTAACTATGAAAAATATTCCAAGTTACCTTTAGGTTCTATGGCTGTAACTCAGGTGGTGGCGTGCTTACCTAGCATGCACAGAGCCCTGGAACCCTAGCATTGGAGAAGTGGAGGAGCGGGGTTAGAGTTCACCTGCATCCTCGGTTTACAGTCACTAGAGACCAGCTTGACTCCATGAGTCTGAATAAAAAGAAACAAACAGAAATAGTTATATTTAGTGCAATGTAATCATTCAGCCAGAGGAAATTAAAATGTTTATATGTTTCATATTACTACTTCTGAAGTGATTTAATTGTAAAATAGAGATAGGAATTTTCTCTTAGGACTAATATGGTTTTAAGCCATCATGATAATCAGATTTTGTATCCAGAAGCACTTTTTAAAGTGTGCCCTCTGTACCACTCCTGAAACATGAGATGCTTGTAGGATAATGTTTATTATTGGAGAAATTATTTTGGCCACTCCACGTAGTTAAAAGGATATTTATTTAATGGCGTAACTCACAAATTAAGTAATGGGTAGGTCGCAGGGTCTGGGGAAGGTGTAACGCAGTCCAGCAGTGTTCTCCGGAGCTCTGCACAGTCCACCTTCACCGTTCAGCATCCCAGCACAGAGAGAGCACACAGAGAGCGCTGGCCCATCCAGCTCTCAGGTCCCCAGGCACCTCCCCTCGCCCCGCCTCGTAGGCGTGACAGAGTCTCAATGGGGGTTGGAACTTCCAGATCCAAGCTGGAATGGCTACCCACTACATCTCCCCCTTTTTGTCTAAATAAGAAGGTTCTAAACTAATACAAGACTATATACAAAGGGAATGGTTATCAAATATTGTCCAGAAATAATGAGGGATAATTACCTAGATAAGATGTAACTACAACCAATGCAAACAATATCAAGCAAGAAACACATTGTAAAATCCAGAGAAGTATAGAGCATAGGTAAACGGCATGTTATAAAGATCATTCAAAGGTGTCCTATCCTAAAGAACCTGAATCTAATACTAGCGCACAGAGAGAGCGCTGGCCCATCCAGCTCTCGGGTCCCCAGGCGCCTCCCCTGGCCCTGCCTCGTAGGCATGACAGTTGCCAGAGTCTCAATGGGGGTTGGAACTTCCAGATCCAAGCTGGAATGGCTACCCACTACATCTTATGGATAAACATTCTAAAATAATTAGTTTCAATGTCTGTCATAAAAACAAAACTGCAAACCATTCTAGATTGAAAAGGTGAAATAGGTTGATTTAGACTTTTAAAAAGCTGAGTGAATGCTCACAAGTGGCTAGGACACAAATAACAAAAAAATCACAGATCTGAGTGACAAATTTAGGAAATGTAGGTACAGTATTTTAACTTTCCTTTGAAAACTGTTATTTTTTGAAATTTCTAGTAGAAGTAATATATATCAGAAAAAAATAGAAAAGTCAAAATTCCATAGAATGCTCCCAACTTTTTTTTTCTGGTAACCTGTTCTTTTGGTAGTCACCATATATAAACAATAGCATATGAAATAGATACTCTTTCATGCTGTGTATGGTCACATGAAGAATGTGCTCCCACTTTTTGTCAGGATAGTGGTCTGCTCGATTGTCATAACAAAACACCATAGACTAGGCAGCTGAAGTGGCAGTTGTGTGTGCACAGTTCTGGTACCTGCGAGTGCTATGTGTAGGTCCAACAGGTTCTATTTGTGGAGGCTTCTAGCTTGTGTATGGACTGCCTTCTTCTTGTTATATACCTCACATAACTTTCATGTGTATGCATGTAATCGAGGTGAGGGCACACAGGAAAGGAACTCAAAAAGAAGACTGCAGTGTCTTCTACTATAGACACTAGTTCAAGCAAAATTTGGGCCCCTAATATGATCTAATTTAATCATAATTACTTCTGTACTCCTAATGAAACCATGCTGGGGGTTAAGGCATCAGTATGAATTTTGGGAAGAGATGAATTCATTCCATCATGTTCCACTATTGGCCCCACAAAATTCATATTCTTATGAGAAAATGTAAATGGAAAATTCTTTCTATCCTAACAGTCCCTCAGTCTTAGTTTCCATTAGACATGATAACCCAGTCTTATTTAAACACCATCTAAATCAGGGTTAGGTAAGACTGAGTCTGATTCATCTTGACACAAAATTCCTTTCCAGCTGTAAACCTGTAAATCAGAAAATTTTATGCTTCCCAAAAAGAACAAGGTCAGTCACAGGATTGACATCACTACTGAAAAAGGAAAACCAAGCAAGGGATGACAGTTTCCTAAAGCAAGTCAAACCTGGCAAGGCAAATCCCGTTAGATTTTAATGCTCAAGAAATACCCTTTTTGATCAGATGTGTTCTCAGACCTACTAAGATAGCAATTGTCACCCTTATTGAAGTACATCCTGGTCTTGTCCCTGAGGTACTGGGCAGTGTTATGATGCCTCTCTGGCAGGGAAAATACCCAGCCTTATAAATGGAAAAAACAGTAAGCCCTGAACCTTGAGCATATGGTGAAATGAACTTCCTTGCTAACTTGGAATCTCAGTTTGGAGACATTTTTAAATTGATTTTTACAGTGCTGAGATAGAACCCAGGGCCGTGAGCATGCTGAACCTTGAGCATGCTGGACAAGGAGCACTGCTCAGCTATATTATAGCTCTTCACCTCTTTTTGGAGAGTTTCACTATGTACCCCAAGCCTGGAATTCTCAATCCTGCTTCAGCTTTCCAAACAGTAGGATTAAGAGCATGCTCAAGGTTTCCTTGGGTATATCAAGTAATATGGATAGGATTTCTGTATTCTGTGTACAATGTTGGATGCATTTTTCTCACTTGGATTGTAGAACAGTTATTCTAAGGAATATTGATAGCCAGTTTTTAATGGTGGTTGTTTTAAGACTATTGTAGCAATCAGGTTGTTCCTTAAGCTGAATTACTCCATTGTGGTAAGCACTAGTTTGTCTGAGTTACTTCATTTTGATTGAAAGAGGTAGGGAAGAAAAATGTGTGTAGCTGGAAGTTTTACTGTGTCCCATCCAGGCTCTACAGTCAGGATGAATCTCTCCCATCCACGGCCTGCAGCCGCTTGGTTCCAAATAAACACACAGAGGCTTATATTATTTTCAAACTATATGGCCTAATGGCTCAGGCTTCTCGCTAGCTAGCTCTTACATCTTAAATTTACCCATTTCTATAAATCTATACTTCGCCACATGGCTTGTGGTTTACTGGTACTTTTACATCTTGCTTCTCCTGGCAGAATCTAGCAGTGTCTCTTTCTCTGCTTCCCCTTTCTTCTTCCTGTCTATTGGCTTGAATTTCCTGTCTGCTTCTAAGCTTCCTTGCCATAGGCCAATACAGCTTTATTTATCAACCAGTCAGAGCAACACATATTCACAGTATACAGAAAGACATCCCACAGCAGATGTGACATCTTGTCTGGGCAAGTGAATAATCACCAGAGGTTGCACATACAGAATTTCTTGGGAAAAAAAAACTAAAAGCTTCATGGCACAGTGAGGAGGCATAGCCTGGTAAGTTATTCATGCTGATTTGTAAACTTAACACATCAGATGCACATGGACACACACTATCAAACCACCTTAGGAACACTAGGCATGGGTAGGTGTGCTGGCACATACCTGTTACACCATCACTAGCGAGACTGATTCAGGAGAATTTTGAATTTAAGGTCAGCATGGGCTATATACTGTGAGACCATCTCAAAAACAAAACAAACAAAACAAAACAAAAAAACTAGGTATGTGAGTCTATCAAACACCGGAAAACAAATGATGTGATCTTCTTCCTCTGAAACACATCAAAGAGAAAGGCATCTAAGAGTGGCATGCCAGCAATGCTGACTCATCACCTTGTCAAGTGGCTTGGCTTCTGCCCAGGATCTTCACCACATCATACTGTGCACTATACCTCAGCAGCATGATTTGATTCTGCTGATTTGAAATTGTTCTCTTCTAAGCCATTTAGACCCTCAAACTCATCTGTATTTTAGCAGCTCTACACCTTGATGCATCCTGAATGGTGGGTAGTTCCTTACCTTACCACCTGCAGCATGTATGTATGGGCTCTTTGTACAGACTTCTAAATTCCTGTGGCACCCATAACCCTTTCAGCCTCTCTGCAGCCTAAACCCACTGTGTGTGATGAATTGTGATGTAGAACTTGTGATGGGTGTGGTCATGCTTATCAAGTGAAACCAGGAGTCTTGGTAAGGTCATGGTAAGAAAAACTGACTTAGCATGAGTGTGCTGCCTGCCACTCAGTAATTCAGACATTGTAGGAAGAGACAGTATAGCTTGCTCAGCACAAATACGTACTTAATTTACTTTTTACTCAGTGTTTTCAGCTTGAGGCTCAACTTATTCTGCCTCTGTCCCCCTTTACAAACAAAACCAATTTTAATTGAAAACATTTCCAAATCATTGTCCTGGATCTTTTTGTTTTGTTTTGTCAGTCCCTGAAGTGTTAGAAGTCTTCAACTATTCAGAGATTTTATAGAGAGCTAGAAGTAAGAATGTAATTAGCATTCATGGAGTGGAGCTATCCCCTAATTTATAAGCACTTGATAACAGTGTTTTATCAGGTTCATCCAAATCCTTGTCCAGAGCATTTCATATACAAATGACTGTAATTAGGTGTTGGGAATACAGTGGTAAAATTGGCTAGTAGAGTTTGCTGCAGCACAAAGATTTTGACTGGCTAGCCAGGCCATTATCTAATAGTAATCTTCATAGTATAAACGAAACGGGAGAGCTGTGCAGTTAGCAGCAAATGATACCCAGCCTACTTCAGGAGGCTTTATAGTTAGAGCTTCTCAAATAAGAATTAGCTAGGAAAAAAGAGGTAACAGGTTAGAGACTTAGGATAAAAAACATACGTTCAAAAGGATTATTTTAACCAGGCAG